CGCTCACTACAGACAAGCTCACTGACACACACGCTCACTACAGACAAGCCCACGATCACACCCATGCTCCTTACAGACAAGAGCTCACTAACACACACACATATGATCCCTACAGACAAGCTCACTGACACACATACAAGCTCACTCACTAGCAGGCACACACACAAACTCACTAGCAGGCACACACACACAGAGGCTTCCTCACTAGCAGGTGCGCACACACACACAGAGGCAGACAGTCACTGACACCGAGGCAAACATCCACACATACAGACAGGCAGACAGCCACACACACACACAGGCAGACAGCCACACACACACAGTCACACACACAGACAGACACACACAGACAGTCACACACACAGTCACACACAGACAGTAACATACACAGGCAGACAGACACACACAGGCAGTCACACACAAAGGCAGTCACACGCACACAGAGACAGTCACACACAAACACACACAAACAGTCACACACACACAGTCACAGTTACACACACAGTCACACACTCACAGACAGTCACAGTCACACACACAGACAGTCACACACACACAGTCACACACACAGTCACACACACAGACAGTCACAGTCACACCACGTCACACACACACGAACAGTCACACACAGACAGTCACAGTCACACACAGTCACCACACACACAGACAGTCACACAACAGTCACACTCACAGACAGTCAGTCACAGACAGTCACACACACACAGACGTCAGTCACAGACAGTCACACACACAGACAGTCACAGTCACACACAGTCACAGTCACACACACACAGACAGTCAGTCACAGACAGTCACACACTCACAGACAGTCAGTCACAGACAGTCACACACTCACAGACAGTCAGTCACAGACAGTCACACACACAGACAGTCACAGTCACACACAGTCACAGTCACACACACACAGACAGTCAGTCACAGACAGTCACACACACACAACACATCACAGACAGTCACACACACACAGACAGTCAGTCACAGACAGTCACACACTCACAGACAGTCAGTCACAGACAGTCACACACTCACAGACAGTCAGTCACAGACAGTCACACACACAGACAGTCACAGTCACACACAGTCACAGTCACACACACAGACAGTCAGTCACAGACAGTCACACACTCACAGACAGTCAGTCACAGACAGTCACACACACACAGACAGTCAGTCACAGACAGTCACACACACAGACAGTCACAGTCACACACAGTCACAGTCACACACACACAGACAGTCAGTCACAGACAGTCACACACTCACAGACAGTCAGTCACAGACAGTCACACACTCACAGACAGTCAGTCACAGACAGTCACACACACAGACAGTCACAGTCACACACAGTCACAGTCACACACACACAGACAGTCAGTCACAGACAGTCACACACTCACAGACAGTCAGTCACAGACAGTCACACACTCACAGACAGTCAGTCACAGACAGTCACACACACAGACAGTCACAGTCACACACAGTCACAGTCACACACACACAGACAGTCAGTCACAGACAGTCACACACTCACAGACAGTCAGTCACAGACAGTCACACACACACAGACAGTCAGTCACAGACAGTCACACACACACAGACAGTCAGTCACAGACAGTCACACACTCACAGACAGTCAGTCACAGACAGTCACACACTCACAGACAGTCAGTCACAGACAGTCACACACTCACAGACAGTCAGTCACAGACAGTCACACACACACAGACAGTCAGTCACAGACAGTCACACACACAGACAGTCACAGTCACACACAGTCACAGTCACACACACACAGACAGTCAGTCACAGACAGTCACACACTCACAGACAGTCAGTCACAGACAGTCACACACTCACAGACAGTCAGTCACAGACAGTCACACACTCACAGACAGTCAGTCACAGACAGTCACACACTCACAGACAGTCAGTCACAGACAGTCACACACTCACAGACAGTCAGTCACAGACAGTCACACACACAGACAGTCACAGTCACACACAGTCACAGTCACACACACACAGACAGTCACAGACAGTCACAGTCACACTCACAGACAGTCAGTCACAGACAGTCACACACACACAGACATCCAGTCACAGACAGTCACACACACACAGACAGTCAGTCACAGACAGTCACACACTCCAGACAGTCAGTCACAGACAGTCACACACTCACAGACATTCAGTCACAGACAGTCACACACTCACAGACAGTCAGTCACAGACAGTCACACACTCACAGACAGTCAGTCACAGACAGTCACACACACAGACAGTCACAGTCACACACGTCAGTCACACACACACAGACAGTCAGTCACAGACAGTCACACTCACAGACAGTCAGTCACAGACAGTCACACACTCACAGACAGTCAGTCACAGACAGTCACACACACAGACAGTCACAGTCACACACAGTCACAGTCACACACACACAGACAGTCAGTCACAGACAGTCACACACTCACAGACAGTCAGTCACAGACAGTCACACACACACAGACAGTCAGTCACAGACAGTCACACACTCACAGACAGTCAGTCACAGACAGTCACACACTCACAGACAGTCAGTCACAGACAGTCACACACTCACAGACAGTCACAGACACACAGTCACAGTCACACACACACACAGTCACACACTCACACTGACCTCCTTCTTCCCTCCTGTTTGTTGTTCCTGGAGGCTGGTTGTTGGGGAAGCAGGGACTCCTTCCTGCTTCCCATGCGGCAATTAGCCGCCCCCGCCGCACAGTAAGCTCCGCCTCCGCCGCACGCTAAGCCCCGCCCCCGCCGCACAGTAAGCTCCGCCCCCGCCGCAAATTTTTTTTTTTTTTTTGTAAATGATCCCGGGCGGCCATGTGTGAGCCGGCCGCCTGGCTCCCCCTGCTCCCATGGGGCTATGTGCGGCCGCACAGCTCACACACGGCCGCCGGGATCACAGGAGCTGTCAGACCGGCCCCAGGTGCCGCGGCCCACCGGGAAATTTCCCGGTATCCCGGTGGGCCAGTCCGGCCCTGGCTGGATTAATGTTAGAAACCCGAACAGTCCGCTACAATTATAACTGACATATCAGTTTGAGATTCCTCGTGTGTTCTCACACTCCTGTCCCTCTGCACGGTATTACAGTGCAAGAGCTTGGCGGTGTTGGTTCAGGTGGGGGTAGTAGAATTTTTTTTATCTAATAATGAGACATATTACAGCATAATTAAAGCTAACACATTAAAAAGCATAAAAACATCACTACTAGTGGTATAGAGTGTACTCAAACTGTGACCTTGTAAAAAAAATATAATAATAGAATATATAACACATTATTATTATTATTTTATTATTTATCAAGCACCAACAAATTCCACAGCGCTGTACAATGGGTGGACTAACAGACATGTATTTGGACACATAGAAACAGAGGAATTGAGGGCTCTGCTCAATGAGCTTACGTGCTACAGGGAGTGGGGTATAGTGATACAAAGGGTAAGGGCAGTGCTGTATTTAGTACACTGCTGGCAAGGGATTTGCCTTGAGTGGCATTTTCAGGGGGTGGCAAAAAAAGCCACCCCCAAACGCCCTGGCATACTCCTGATTTTGCGGGTGGCGAGGAAGCGCTCTCCCCTGAGCTCTTTCTGCTCAGCTCCCTCACGCGCACCTCAGTGATGTTGGAGCCTGAATATGATGTCACTCCGCGCGAGGGAGCTGAGCAGGAGGATCACAGCTCCCTCACTGCCTGTCTGAACTGTGCACCTGTCTCACCGACCGCCTGCAGCCCAGCCAGCAGCAGCCCCACTGGACCACATGGAAAAATCCACCAAAATGTAAGCAAAAAAAAAGATTGTGAGTGTGTTAGTGTGTCTGTTAGTGAGAGTGCATGTGTCTATTAGTGAGTGTTAGTGTGTGACAGTGTGTGTGTTTGTCAATGAGTGTGTGTGTGTATATGTGTCTCACTGAGAGTGTGTGTCTCAGTGTGTGTCTATCAGTGAATGTGTGTCTGACACTGAGTGTGTACATGTATGTGTCTGTGTGTATCTGTAAGTGAGTATATGTGTGTCCCAGTGTGTGTGTGTGTGTGTGTGACTGAGTGAGTTTGCATCTGTCAGTGAGTATGCATTAGTGTCTTGTCAGTGAGTGTGTTTGTGTCTGTCAGTTAGTGTATATGTGTGTCTGTCGGTGAATGTTAGTGTGTGTGTGTAACTGTGAATGAGTGAGTGTGTATGCCTGTGAATGTGTATGTTTCAGTGAAAGTGTGTGTTGGTTAAACAGTGTGTGTGACAATGACTGTGTATCTGTAAGTGAGTGTATGTCAGTGCATACATTAGTGAGGGCGTTTGTCTGTCAGGAAGAGAAATTTGGAAGGGGGTGAGGGTGCCTGAGTTTTGTCATGCCTAGGGTAGCACAAAACCAGAATACACCACTGGGTGAGGGTAGAAAAGTAGGTTCTTGGGCCTTAGTGGGTTATTTTTGACAGTTGCAGGGATCAGCATACTATGACTATATAACATATAACAATCCATATGTAAGTGAGGCAGCATACAATTAATATTTGGTTATTTCATGATCATTTCCAGCCCATCCAAGGGTTTTGCAACCCAAAATTCTGTTTAGGCTATGGTTAAGTTTTTGGGTTTAGTCAATGTTATTCTTACATTCTCTTGCTTATGGTTATGTCCAGCAGAATGATGAAATAACACAATCCAACTTTCATTTTCATCACCCATATCCTATCTGCGAATGATAGCCACAGAATTATGAATGCAGATATCCCACCAGCGTAGCAGCATTATTTCAAACTGCTTTGTGATAATGCAGTGCTATTCTAAACACTGTGCAATTTCAGATTCGATACAGCAGCCCTCAACATTTTTGTTTGGTCTAATTTTTTTCTATATATTCTCTAAGTCATAAACCACTATTATGCTTTATCTTCTACACGAGCAGCACCTTGTGGCTTTCCTCGTGGGACCAGTTCCTGAATGCTTAGTATCCATGGCAGGTGACAACACAGGGGATGGATTCATTGCATCTCTTGTTACAGACGATCCGTATAAAGCAGCTGTTTTAAAAAATTTTTTTATAAATATTGCAAGTAACATTTTTCAACTACTGCAATCAGTGAGCAGCTCTGTGTAACCAGGGTAAGTGAGTTTTGTCCCTTTTGATTTTCCTATGTAAATATAACTGCTCTGATGATGGTCCTAGTTTGCATCATTAGGAGCATCCTGTAGCATCTACATCTACGTGCATGTATTATGTCAACCTACCTGCAGATTCCATGCAGTTGCTTCTGCTTTGATGGACAGTATTATACTATCAGTGACAAATCATTTGTTGTATTGTTAATGCTTGTAGTATGATTTTCTCTATTTTCTTTGTTCCAAAGTTATAATCTATGCACAGAGGGATCAATAGTATTTTAGCCATCAAGCACAGATTATGTTTAGTAAAGAGAGGCAGGTTTGATAAAGCACAGTTTTGCAATATAATATGTGTTAACCTTGATACATTGGATGTCTACATTTTCCTACAACTCTCATTTAGACTTTACATTATTCAGTTCCTATAGAGAGTTAAAATGTCTCCCCATTTTGTCTTATTGGTAGCAAAGGGTTTGTTGTAAGACAGCTTATATATTTTTTCTTTTATATACTTTTCAATATCAATGGGTGTGTAATTCAATGTAGGCAGTGATAGGTTTTTCCGAGTGACAAGGGGACAAATACACCGAGGCCACTCATATTCTGGGCCAGCGGGTCATGGCGCCCACACAACCCCAATACTAAGTTTGCTTGGCTTATTGTGTCCTGTAAATCTGCAAGTGTTTTTTTATTTTTTTTACCGAAACCATGGTAGGAATATGCAGCTGTTCTAAGCTGCCCTTGGCCAGTACTGTGGGGCTTTTTAATGTTAGCTGGGTAGTGGTACAATTTGCCCTTCTTGTTTTCCTAAAGAAGGAAGATGAGGGCCAAAAGTCTTTATTTGTGTGGGACTTCCACTAGTGCAAGGATGTTGGTTACAGTCAGTGGCTGTCCTGTCCTGTTAACTCCTAGAATTTAAGGTTAGGTAACCTTCGGCACTCCAAATGTTGTGGATGCCTTACCAGCTGTAAGATCATTACGGGATGTGTAGTACACTATGTCTGGAGTACTGAAGGTTTCCTAAACTGTCCTAGATATATCTCAGTATCAATCTGTTTTGGCTTAACTTCAGAACCTGATTACTTGTCCTGAGCAGGATCTCCTGCATGAGATCTCCATGTCCAGGTCCAAAATAAGAACTGTTGTAGACCGTGCTCCAATGTACAGACTACACACCAAAAAGCGTACTAGTGTACACCAAAAAGGTGTGAGCTCAACTTCACGACCACACAATCCGAAAGCCAAAAGACTAGAAATTTAGAACTTGTTAATATTAACCTTCAAAATTCTGTTGATTGAAGAGCCACAAAAGCTTTTTAGAACAAATCAAACATAGCAGTTTATCTTGAAGAGTGACGTATACTACAGCAGTACCACCACAATAATAATATAAATAAGAACATTAGAACAGAACACAGCCAAATGATTTTCCTGCACACAGGCAGTTAAAAATGTGTGGAGGTAATGGTAATAATACATCCAAACTAAATGCAAAATTAAAAAATAATAAACGAGAGTATCTGAAAATTAGTGAAAAACAGGAGTGCTATCTTCACAGAAGTTGGACCCCTGCAAAGAAATGGGACCCATGCAAAGATGTCTATGTAAAGGACAAACATTACACCTATTCAACTTCCACACTTTGTTTTTTGTATTCAAACATAAAAGTTGTGCTGTCATATCTAAAATTATTATTGTTAATATTGGAATTTATATTGCGCCAACATATTCCGTAGCGCTTTACAATATTATACAGGAGGGGATTTAACAGTAAAGGAGACAATTACAAAATATTACAGGAACAATAGATTGACAAGGACCCTGCTCAAATTTTAGAAATGTTTGCCACAGAGGCACACCACTCGTAGTCTGCTTGTGACTTGGTTTTGGGAGTGAAATGGTTAAAATTCACTATTTGTGTGCTAAATAGCTGCCACCGCCAAGTCAATTTTAAATGGAGAGCCTTCTGTTGCTCCAAAAAATACAGATTTAAACAAACAAACAAACAAACAAACAGAAAACACAATTTTGCTGAATATCTACATTAAAGGACCACTATAGTCACCCAGACCACTTCAGCTTAATTAAGTGGTCTGGGTGCCAGGTCCATCTAGGTTTAACCCTGCCTGCTGTAAACATAGCCGTTTCTGAGAAACGGCTATGTTTACATTAGGGTTAATCCAGCCTCTAGTGGCTGTTTCACTGACAGCCGCTAGAGGCGCTTCTGCGCTTCTCACTGTGATTTTCACAGTGAGAAGACACCAGCATCCATAGGAAAGCATTAAGAATGCTTTCCTATGGACTGACTGAATGTGCGCACATGCGCATTCAGCTCATGACGTCCGAAGGAGGAGGAGAGTCCACAGCGCCGAGGGAGCCCGGCGCTGGAGAAAGGTAAGATTTTAACCCCTTCCTCCCACTTCAGCCCGGCAGGTGGGGTGGACCTATTAACACTATAGCACAAATTCGTTTTCCTGGCACTGTGGTGGTCCTTTAACAAATATATTATTACATAAGTATCTTTAGGTTTATAAATCAAGATACTAGAGCCCAAAGACAGAATTGTATTACTAATATTGTAATAACAAAATACAATGAAAATGAAAAGGCTTCTCCAAGCACCATGACCACTTAAGTGACTTGCAGTGGTCATGGTACCTGGAGTCTGTATGTGCAGCATTTCGATATGAACCACTGCACATGCAGAATTGAACTTGTTTGTCAATCAGAGAAGAGATCTCTAATTTCTCTCTTTCCCATACCAATACATCACCCAACCCCAATCCCTCCACCATTCTATACTCATTCGCACCTGCGAAAGAGGTTTCTGCTCTGCTCTGGTCCTCCCGCCCTACCACCTGTTCCCTCGATCCTATTCCCTCATATCTCATCCGCACTTTGTCTCCCTCTCTTGCTCTTCATCTCACTAAAATTTTCAATCTCTCCTTTTCCTCTGGCACATTTCCCTCACCCTTCAAACATGCAACTGTAACCCCGATTCTTAAAAAAAGCCCAACCTTGACCCCAACTCACCATCCAACTACCACCCTATCTCGCTACTGCCATTTGTCTCCCAGATTCTAAGGAGAGTTGTGTACATCAGATTGACTGACTTTCTCGAATCCAACTCTCTGCTTGACACCCTTCAGTCTGGATTCCATGCTGGTTATTCTGTTGAAACGGCTGTAATTAAAGTATCCAACGATTTATTTGCTGGTAAATCTCGCGGCCGTTACTCTACCCTAATTCTCCCTGATCTTTCTGCTGCCTTTGACACTGTTGATCATCAACAGCGTCTTCGCATTCTCCGTAATTTTGGTCTACCGGATACTGCTCTCTCCTGGTGCGCCTCCTGCCTTTCCCAGTGCTCTTTCAGTGTTTCTTTCTCTGACTCTGCCTCTTCCCCCCCAACCACTCTCTGTCGGCGTCCCCCAAGGTTCTGTCCATGTTCCCCTACTGTTCTCTATCTATACTGTCTCCCTTGGTAAACTCATCAGCTCCTTTCTCTTCCGTTATCATTTCTATGCGGATGACACGCAAATCTACCAGTACTGTCCTGATCTCTCTCCACCCATCTTGACTGCCTCTCTGTGATTTCCAACTGGATGGCTGCTCACTTCCTTAAACTCAACCTGTCCAAAACAGAACTTCTGGTCTTTCCTCCCTCAAGTGTTGCTACTCCCGTGTCTGTCTCCCTTCAAGTCAACTGTGCTACCTTTACCTCTACCTCGCAGGCTTGCTGCCTGGGTGATCTTTTTGACTCCAACCTCTCCTTCACCCCTCATGTCCAATCAAACACCAAATCCTGTTGCTCCCATCTCAAAAACATAGCGCACATACGCTCCTATTTAATACCGGATGCGGCTAAGGTGCTGGTCCATGCTCTTGTTTTTTCTTGCCTTGACTACTGCAATCCCCTTCTCAGTGGTCTTATTTGTTCCCAGCTTGCATCGCTGCAATCTTTAATCAATGCGGTGGAGAGGCTCATTTTTCTGTCTGCTTGCACCTCCCATGCCTCCCCGCTCTGTCAGTCCCTGCACTGGTCTCCAGTTAGATATAGGGTTCAATTTGAAATTCTAGTGCTTGCTTACAAGTCCCTACATAATGCTGCTCCAACCTACCTATTCTCCCTAATACACAGGTATGTCCCCTCGAGGCCCCTGCGCTCTGCCAAAGACCTATGTCTATCCTCTGTCCGTACTCCCACCTCTGATGCTCGTCTCCAAGACTTCTTCAGGGCTGCACCTCTTCTGTGGAAATCCCTTCTCCGTAAGACTTTCACCCAGTCTCCACTCATTCAAAAAATCATTGAAAACTCACTTCTTCAAGAAATCATATCAATTAAACTGTTAGCAGGTTGTTATCCCCCACCCCCCATGACTCCTCTCCTGCAACTGTCAAAAAATCCTACGTCGTACCCCTACTTTTACCCTTTGTGTCACTATACCCCATTCCCTCTAGAATGTAAGCTCATTGAGCAGGGCCCTCAACCCCTCTGTTCCTATATGTTACAATTACATGTCAGTCCACCCAATGTACAGAGCTACGGAATCTGATGGCACTATATAAATAATAAAATAATAATTAAATAATAATCCAGCTGTGATCAAGAGATCCATGCTGTGTAATGTAAATTCTGCACATATTGGATGTCTGACATCAGCTTGCATGCTGCCACCAAGCATCCAGTGGACACCTTTTTAAAGTTGAAGGGGGGTAGGATAGAAATGTTTACACTTTTTTTTTTTTGCTGGTTTTTAATTAAAGTTACCCTTTAAATAATCAGTTTTTTGATACCTCTGCAATAATCTTTCTTTGGACTGTCTGAATGAGTATTTCCTTTACACCCATTTAAAAGGCTTTCAAATCATTACTGCTTCACGGTGTTATGAACCTTTTCTTATCAGTATATTCCAGTGATAATTAAAGCCTTTCAATGGACTTATTCAATGGAAACATATTTCTTAAAAAAAAAAAAAAATTATATTGGAGATACGTTAAATAGATTTAGAGGTTTATTTATAACAAAAAGTGAAACGAATAAAGCTGCCAAATGATACATTTTAATGACACTATTTTTGCATTAACTTTGTAAATTGTCATTGTTTAGTTAATATTTTATTACTTGATGCCCAGATCATGGTTCAGTGAAAGTGTAAAATTACTATTATCCAATCTTAAATTGCCATGTTCTACATGTAGTTTTACATTCACACAGCATCCAGACTGCTTTATCTCAATAAAACGGTCTGGATGCCATGTCCCACTTGTTTGGACCCTGCAGCTGAAAATCTTGCTGTTCTGCATGAGTGGCAAGGTTTTCATTGCAGGTTTTAAATGCTTCTAGTGGCTGTCACTCACACAACCACTAGAGGCGCTTCTGATGAAATAGTCAAGTAACACTCTGCTATTTCTATCAGATGGTCTCAGAGACCGAGCATGCGCAATAGCCTCCCAATGCTTTCCTACGGGAAAGCATTTGATTAGCTGAAATAATTGATTTTGATGGTCTTAGCCAAGGAAGCAGGTCTAGCCGTAGAGACATGGTAAGTAACATACTTTTTTTTTTAAGCCCGCAGGTGACCTAAACAGTCACCAGGGAACTATAGTGGTGGGAATACACATTTGTTTTCCTAATGCTACAGAGTTCCTTGTTAATTGTTGATACCTGTCATGCATTGTGGTGACCTTTTCCATTATAGAGCGCTTGTTGGCTACGTTCAGGGCACCTTGCCATATCACATCACCTCCCAGCTAATCCTCCGGTTCACATCCAGTGTAGTCCACTTGCTGTGCATTACAGACAGCTCTTGCTGCTGTTTGTCTGTCTTTCCATTACAAACCTTGTCAGTATCTTCGGTGAGTCATGGCAAAGTGTTTCTCGTACTACTTGCTCTATTATATAATAATGCCTGTCCATGTCAACCAAACATGTGCCAACTCTTTCAATATTGCCCCTTTGGTAGCCATTCGGCTGGATTTATCAATCCTGCACAATGGAAGGCTCACTCCGTTTTCACAGTTCTTGCACTTAAAGGGACACCAAAACAACTCACTACACAATTCTTGACATTTAGAAGTTAAATAACTTTGTTTATGCAGCCCTAGTCACACCTCTCTGCATGTGACTTACATGGCATCCCTAAACACTTCCTGTAAAGAGACATCTAATGTTTGCACTTACTTTATTGCACATTCTGTTTAATTTAAAATGTATCTCCTGCTCTGTCATTAGCCTTCTACAGTCTGCAGGAGCCCAACTGTATGTGATTAAATTATATTTGCAAAGCAGGCGATAAACACTTACAAAGCAAGTTAACATCTGATTAAAAATAAAATCTTTTTTTTAATGCTGGCTGTATCAGTCACTGCCAGTGGAGGTATGGCTAGGGCTGCATAAACACAAACAAAATTTATTTAACCCTTAAATGGCAGAGAATTGGGCAGTGAAACTTCAGAGGCATGGTCTATACACCAAAACTGCTACATTAAGCTAAAGTTGTTTTGGTGACTATAGTGTACCTTTTAAGTGCATCTAAGGGGATCATAGTACGCACCATTGTACACACTTCAGTGGACTGAAGTGGTTATAGTGCCTTGAGTCAAAGGACATTGGCCCCAAATTAATACGCATATTAATATTGCATTAATACGAATATTCAGTTTATTTCATATACCATATTTGCATGTTTGCATGGTTTTGTTTTTTTATCATCATTGAATCTGTCAAATGATTTACTCTTTCACGATACCTACAATATCCAACAGATCACCTGTCCATAACATTTCAGAGGATGTGTAAGATTTACACAGTTTGAGAATTTCATTGTAAAGTTACAAATTATATCAAAATTAAAGCATAGCTCTTGGCAACATTTTTATTCATAATATTAAAAAGTTCTACACAACCGGCTATTGGACCAGAGGGAATATCAAACAATCTTAGAATTTCAACCCTTTTATTAAGAGTATTTGGTTTATATCTGGAGGCTAAATCTTTGTTGGTACACAATAGAACAGATTTTCTAAACTGTGCGAAAGACCTGGGAGAAAACAAGACATGAATAACAAGAATATTGTCAGGGGAAAATAAACATCTGCTTTTGTTAATCCCTCTTCAATGTTCTGTGTGAAACATCAACTGCTTCCTTCTACAAAATGATTTCAGCGTCTAGTAATATTAAACTAGTGTACGTATATTGGAAAACTGTTTTGAGATTAGCTGCTGAGAATCACCATATAATTTTTCAAACTCGCTACAAAAGCATGATCTTTATTTACTGTAACAGCAATTTATTGGGGGAAAAATACATATGATAGTGGTTTCAGTTTTTGTCAATTCAATAGCATTTCGTAAATTTAGAATTTAAACTGTTGTCTTGGTTTAATATATGTGAAGCCTCAGAGAAAAAGCCAGTGGTTGGGTTTTAGCAGGAAACACATATTAAACATGGTGATTTATTTCCACTTAGGATTCAAGTACCCTCTTCTGCCCTGCTCAAAGCACAATAAGATAACAAGTGGATGGACCGATCAGAGGAGTAGAATAGATATATTCAAATAGGTCCATATTTGGAAAGCATTCTGTACTGTTTTGTAGTACTGTTACTTTTCCCTGTTCATTAATAGAAAATAAATTTTGCTTGAATTTGTTTGTAATTGAGTGATTCGGGGGTTGAATTCCCAAACGCTAAGCTGAAATATGCCGAAATCACGAACTAACAGAAATGAGCAATGGGCGAGCATGTTCGTCTCAGATTGTGATCTGGATTCCTCCCATGGCATTAAAAAAAGATGATTGATGGCTAGGGGACATTTACTAAATGTTGATTTTATTCACAAATCATTTGAGAAGCGAGCAATAAAAAAAAAAAAGAGGAACAGAAAAAAAAACTATATAAATATATTTAAATATATTCTATTTGAATTAATATATAAATATACATCTTTGTAAAATATTTTTTTACTTGATCTTTGAATCTAATTGCATGCTCCTTTCAGTGTATTGTAATAATGTTATATTATGCATATATTTTGCAGTGCACTGATTGGTCCATTTTCGCACCCTTTTCATTCGAGGGATTCTGTTTCCAAACTGGGTTTTTTGGTATTGAAATTCTGCTACACCAACATTCAGCTAAAATTCAGACAATTTGTGTTCTCTGAAAAATGGTCATTATGAAATATATTTAGTGTGCAACTTTTATTTATTGTGATTATTATTGCTGTTTTGCCTTGTTATACACATTAACAAAATGGAGCTCCTGTAATCAGTGACAAGCTTCAGAGGAAAGGAAAAACGAATGAAAGGAAAAGAAAAAATACCCGGGGGACATTTAGGAAACAATGAATCAGGGGAAGAAAAATAATATAGTGTGCAACCGGGGATTCTTTCCCTTTGTTATTACTCAATTTTATATAATGTGACTATTCAATAAAGAGATATTAAAAGCCCCATAACCACTACCTACTACCTAATTTAGTGGTTATGGAGCCAAGAGTGCCCTGATTCTGCTTTCCAGTGTAAATAGCCATACTGATTAAAAACAGGTCCCACTGGATGTCTGTAGCTGCCTTTCCTGCAGAGAGCTTCTAATTAGAGTTGAGCGAACACAAACTGAAAAGTTCGGGTTTGTACCGAACATTAGTTTTTTTGACCCCGTATGTTCGGGTCGGAGTTCGGCGATTTAATGACGCGTTTTGAAAGGCCGCAGGGCAGCCAATCAGCAAGCGTTTGACTTGTGTGCCCTTAGAAGCCCTCTCTACTAATGGCATGGCTGTGATTGGCCAGTGCAGCAAGTGACTCAGCCTCTATAGAAGCTGGTGACTTAGTATTAGTAAATTATGCCCCTACTCGCTATACCGCGAGTAGGGGCATGTCTATTAAACAGTGAGCAATAAAATAAAAAAAACATTCCCCCCTCCTGAGCCCCCACCTGCGACGTGTGAGTGGGGTCTTTTAAAATAAAGGGGGGGGCCTATTCTGCTACACCAACATTAACCCACCTGAGCGGTGGGTGGGGCAATAAATAAAAATTGGGGGAGACCTAATGTCCTCCCCCCAGCCCCCACCCCTGCGTGGCTGGTGGGGGCCCTAAATAACAATAAGGGGGAGGTCCTAATGTCCTCCTCCCCGGCCCCCACCCCTGAGCGGTGGGTGGGTGCCATAAATAAAAACTGGGGGGGACCTAATGTCTTCCCCCCGGCCCCCACCCCTGTGCGGAGTTTGGGGGCCCTAAATATCAATAAGGGGAGGGACCTAAAGTCCTCACCCCCTGCCCCCACCCATGCGTGGCGGATGGATGCCCTAAATAGCAATAAGGGGGGGGGAACTAATGTCCTCCCCCCCCCTGGCCCTCACCCCTTACCTGTCAGTCTCTTCATTTACCTGTCAGAGAACTCTGATTGGATGGCTTAAACCCACCAATCAGAGTGCTCTGAGCCTAATTGCAGGGCGGGGCAAGGCTTTATAAGCCTTCCTTCGCCCTGCAGAGCTCAGTCTGCGCGGAGCCCCATGGGTGAAGATGGATTTTTTTTTTTTGCTCTCTTTTTTTTTTGTGGTTATTATGGATTTTGATTTGGCCTTTTTTGGGGCTGAAAAAATAAGATTTTCAAAGAAAGAAAACATCAAATAGTAAGTTTTTTATTTTATCTTTTTTTAACAGGTACTTAGTTAATGCCCCTTAGGGTGAGGGGGGTAGGTAGGGGTTAGCTTTTTTTTGGGAGAGAGGTGACTAGGGGTTTGGGGACCCCTAGTCACCTGGGGGGATTTTTATTTATGGCCCCCACCCACCGCCTAGGGGTGGGGGCCAGGGGGAGGATATTAGGTCTCCCCCTTATTGTTATTTAGTGCCCCCACCCACCGCGCAGGGGTGGGAGCCGGGGGGAGGACAGTAGGTCCCCCCTCCACATTTTTATTTAGGGCCCCCACCCATCGAACAGGGGTGGGGGCAATAGGGTTTTTTTTTTTACAGTGAGCAGCCACTGGTTGCTCACTGTTTACTAGACACTCGATATACCGCGAGTAGGGGCTGAATTTACTAATACTAAGTAATCTTTACTTAGTATTAGTAAATGTGGCTGAAAGACCAATTTAGGTGACCAACTTAAGTCTTTCAGCCTTTTGGTAGATAGCTCCCTAATACCGTGTGAATTAGGGAGTTATCTACTAAGTGGCTGCTTATTTTATGTTATTTTTAAGTGATTTCCCTATCCACATTTGTTTGCAGGGCACTTGTCCTACTCTTATCCCCATTTTACTTGCTTTTGCAGCCCTCTAGCCCTTTCCAGGAGATTTTTAGAGCCATTTTGTGGCCAAAAGTTCGGGTCCCCATTGACTTCAATGGGGTTCGGTCCCCAAACCCGCCGGACCCGAACATCCAGGTGTCCGCTCAACTCTACTTCAAATGGCTCCATTGAGCTAAGTCATGCTGTGCATGGCCTGCTCATTGGCTGCAAATATTATCTGAGCACTGTGTGCAGTCCTGCATGGAACTTCCCACAAAAGGATTCAGTGGGCATCTGATGGGACCCAGGTAAGTTGCCAAATCTTACTTAAATGGTTTGACTACATACTCTAGGATCATGACTGGGAGATCTTAGGTCAGTGCTGTATTTATTGGAAGGCTAAGAAGGCATTTGCCGTGGGCGGCACTTTCCAGGTGTGGCGGCAAAAAAATGCCGCCCCTAAACATTCTGTCAAATGCCTTGTTAGCCTTGTGTGAAGAGGGACCCAAGAGCTGGCCACATGTCCACCTTAGGACACCTCCGAGGTGAACGGCTGGGTTTCTGTATCTGTCAGTGAGTGCATGTATTTGTTAGGGCATGTGTCTGTCAGTCTAAGTGCATGTTGGTCTTAAACAGGACAGAGTGAAGCATTGACCGGAAGGGGTGGATCAAATTTAGATTAGGGGGGCGCCTGAGTTTAGTCATATCTAGGGCAGCATAAAACCAAAATACTCCACTGATTAGGGTGTTTACGTACATATGCATTTGTCAAAAATCAACATATGTTTTTAGACATCTTTATGACCACAATGTCTACTTAATAAATTGATTTAACTCCTTTTAATTTCCTGTTTTAAAGGAAGTGCTGGAGAGCGCCATAGAATTCTGGGCCTACAGTATGTTGTTATCTGACTGTGCTATTGAACCTTTTTTTTTTTACCGAGGTCCCTATTGCTTATGGCCTTATCCCTGAACATATGCAAGAGATATGGGCAAAGTTATCAAAAAAGAGGATCTGTAAAATCATGGCTTCATTGAACATCATCCCCACTGCTTTGTGTATTTTACTCCTCATCTGAAAGCACTTTTACACTGGTCCACATTGGGAAAGCATTCTATACTGTCCTGTAGTATAGAATAGTACTTATCACTGTTCCTAATTAGACTTGGAGATTTGGTTTGCCTGAATTTGTCTATGATTGGGTGTTTGGTTGAATTCCCGAACTCCAAGCTGAAATGGGCCAAAATCACGAGCCAAGAGAAACACGCAATGGTCGAGCATGTTCATCTCGGGTTGTGATCTGGATTCCGCTCTTGGCATAAAAATAGAGATGATTGATGGGAAATAAAAGATAATTGATAGATAGGGGAGAGTCACCAAATGTACTGCATATAGGTGTTGTTTTTTCGTTGGGTTGATATGAAAGATGAGATGTACTTTATTGCTGTAGGCTATCATGTCTGTTTATCAACTTACTTATTTCATTACCACCTTTTTTGCTTCGATTAATAATGTAAGTGTGAAAGCGTTTATACAAGTGACAATGTGTATGGTCTGTTAGAATTGGCACAGTTATTTTTAATTTGTTGTTGGCCAGACAATGTATAATGGATTCGTATCGTAAGCTGTGGCTGTGAATTAACAGAATTTTACTTATTTTTAATTCTACAGATGAAAGAGGGAAGCAAATTGTGCCGAATGCTTGTTTGTCATTTATTCATATTGTACATGCTTGGTTGCAATACAAAGGTGACTTTTGCTGTATTAACATCTCAGCCAATAAAAATGAATGGAATGGAAAATGTGAGCAAGAATGGTGAAGACACTAACGCTGTGCATTCAGAACTTGTCAAAGGCTACAGTGATCTCAGAAATGTATCTGCTGGTGATGTTCAGATGTCATCAAATTCTACAACTCTGCCTGGTCACCTCATTGTCAATGAAACGCTGCACTTTGTACTCTGTAATACATCATGTCCTGATTCAATTAGTGATGGTAATCACATCACTGAAAGACTGAGAGCAAACATTACGAACAGAATAAATGTCTCGGGTGAAAACATTGGTCCTTTGATTGCATCTTCACCTCATGACTGGTCATCACTTGAAAACATGACTGATGTCAACGCAAGCAGTTCAACCGTAAATAAGGCAGGAATATCCAATCAGTTATCACACAACTCAACATATCATGCATTGTATTATACATTTTTTGGAGAAGACAGTGAGCCAACGGGTACCTCTTTTTTTATTTCTGTTTTATTTATCTGTGATGTTTTTGAGTATAAAGAGATTTTTTTTGATGAGTTCAGTTCTATTTAGTATTAACATTTTAGCTGTTTTGCTATTCTACTGCCATTGCAACAATACTTTATGCTACAGGATAGATAATTGCCAGCTGCAATAACGCAACAATCACATCTCATTATCTGCTTTGGCAATCTGAGTGAGGAGTATTTAGCTATCTGAGAACACCTACAGATTAATGTAGTTGTTCTGCTAAGTATAGTCCGTCCCTGCAGGCTTTTTATAGTAAACACTCTCTTTTCAGAGAAAAGGGTAGTTTTGGTGTTTATAGTAATGTTTGTATGTAGTACTGGTATTTCAATGCAGGCTTTTAGCGTTTGTTTGCATGGATGTATGCACATATACACATACATTGCCACACAGATACACATATATGCTGAGATACACACACATATATAAACACACATACACACAAGAGCACACATACATACAGGTCAAAATTCACATATTTCTAGCCACCCTCCTGTTCCCATATCTGTTGGGTGCAGGGTGGTGGCTTCCTGGGGGCCACTGGCCGCAGCAGGTGCTGGCTGATGCTGCTGGGAGTCTGTGACTGGTCCAGACTCTCCCCCCCCTCGCTTTCTCTGCCTCCTACTTTCCTCACAGCGTGAAGAAAGTGTCCTGTACTCAATTCCTCCCAGTAGTGCAGTGCCGACTGAGCCTCTGATCAGGCCGTAGCTGCCAATCAGGGGCACGGGGTGGCCCTAAATGAGTGGGCCACCTGATTTGCCACTCCAGGTTATGGGCCCAGAGCTCCTATTTGAAAGCTGCTAGGGGCATCCTTAGTGACAAATATAACATTGCTCTATGTTTAGATTTGTCAGACTGCAGCGACAGAGTCATTTCACCAAAACCACTATATTAAGGTGTTGTGGTTTTGGTGCTTAGAGAGTCCCTTTGGTGCTAGCTCTGATTATTCTGGCACGTTTTACCCTTCACATTTTGCCTATAGCACAGTTTGTCCTGCCCGCTACAGTTTCCATGTGTCAGCCACTGCATCTCATCTGCAAACCATTTATTGTGTTAAAACATAGTCATTATTTTTATACTCTGAGACCTTGTTATGTGCCTCCAATCCCATTTATTACACTTTTTTTCATTACTGTTTAAGCTGTTTTTTTTAAATATACCTCTAAACATATTTGAACAATCACATTTGCCTCTATTTGCAATCACCTAAGTGTGACCTGATATAAAAACATTTCAAAACCTGTATACAAACATATATACATTCAGCATTGTCAGAAATTACCCTCTCAATGTCAATAAATAATTAGTTGATCTTAATTTAAAGGGGCACTCTAGTCATCAGAACCACTACAGCTTAATTTAGTTATTCTGGTGTTTATAGGCTGTCCTTGTAGGCTATTTAATGTAATCATTGCCTTTTCAGAGAAAAAGATGTCCACTAGAGTTGCTTCCTGTGTCAATGTTGCACAATATTCCCATATAGATGCTTTGATTCAATGCATCTCTATGGGGAGATGCTGATTGGCATAGTGCTGTGTTTTGCCGCAATAGCTTCCCAGTGCTTTCCCATTGGCTAAGATCATCATGTTTGATGATCTCAGCCATGGAGGTGGGGCCAGGCAGTGCATGGCAGAAAAGGTGAGTAAAATCAGTTAATCTTTAGTTTCCAGAGAGAGGAGGGTCAGGGACCTATCGCTGTATTCCAGCACCTTAGTGTCAGCAATACATGTTTGTATTCCTGACACTATAGTGTTCCTTTAAGTACCAGTCTTTACCATTTTATTTTTACCTGTTTTCTGTATCATTAATTAACCAGAATTCTATTCGTTATCCATTATGATTAAGATAGCATGCGCTGTATGCCGGATCAAAGTGTTTAAGCAAAGTTTAACGTTTACCCTGTGACATTCAGTATGTAGCCTTATAAACATAACGAGCTTCACACCAGGCTGGCTACTCGGTGCTGTTATAAATTGTCCCTATTAGAAATAACAGCTTTGCTTCCTTTGTGGCATCTGGAATGTTCAATTACAATTTTTACCTACCGGTGACCAATTTAGAGCCTAGAACAGTGTGAATCCTAGTACTAAAATTAATAAATAAATAAATAAAAATCTGCAAAAAAATAAATAAAAAATAGAAAACAGAACAGGAACATCCTGCCCAGAGCTTGCAATTATTTCTCCAGGCAAGTTATTATTTGTGTTACAGCATTTGTTCTTACATTCTTAACAATGCATAGAATAATCAAAATCTTGTTAGTGAAACACAGTTGCTTCCATGTATTGTTGAATCTCTGATATTTTATATGAGTTTATCCAATTATTCTTTCTATTTCTTTCTTTCTTTCTTTCTCTCCTTCTCTCCTTCTCTCCTTTCTTTTCTCTCTCTTTTTCTTTCTTTTCTTTCCTTTCTTTTTCTTTTCTTTCTTTTCTCCCTTTCTTTTCTCCCTTTCCTTTCTTTCTTTTTCTCCCTTTCCTTTCTTTCTTTTCTCCCTTTCCTTTTGTAACGGAGCTCCTTGTACTCCGACTGAGTACCCTCCGTTGATGGATGCTCCTAGCACTTCCTGAGGACTCCCAAGCACTGCAGAAGACACCACAACCACCGCAGACTCCGCAACCTCCGTATCTTGACTGGAGTCTCGCCGTCTTCCTTTCACCCTGGATCAGCTTCTGTCCTCCAGGACTGTGTGGTGAAGACCCCTCCTCCAAGGAGGAACAAGCTCTTAAAAGAGCTAAGTGACTCAAGCTCAGGGGAGCATGCAGAGCATAGCAATCCCCAGTGTGTTTATAACAGCTCCTTCCAATAACGAGACAAGGCTACGTTTAGAGGGATCAAGAAGAACTGATGTTTAATGGCACACACTCTGCTTTTATGAGATTCTGCCCATGCAAGGGAGACACCCACATAATTAGCAGTATAACCAATCGGAACAATATACATTCGGGGAAATTCCCATCCCTCAGATAATCACATAACATAATTAAAACAGAACAGTAAAAATACAGTTTTTATACATGTACTATAACTTCCAAACTACACATCCAATCTGGCACAAATCAGACAAGGGGTTCAAAAGTTAGCAAAAGTGTCTTTTGGGGCCTGGCTGGCAGCATGGTTTTCTGGCCCAAACCGGTTTTACAGAGGCCTCTATCCTGGACAATGGGGAAAGTAATCCAATTATCCAAGGATAGAGGCAGACTCCATTAACCACATGTTAGCAAAAGACACAAAAAGACACAAAAATACATAACTCCTATTGAACTGAACAGAACCCCCACATTCAACCTATCCCCAGATGGCTTGGATCTGAGCGCTCAATATATCCAAACAGCGCTCAGATCCCACAAATACAGTCAAATCGCCATACACACTAGATCCATAGTCATGGGGCAGAAGGCTGGCAATTAGGCTTCTCCATAACACAGGGAAGCAGGGCAATTTGTCAAATAAAATAACAGTTACAAATGGCAGTTTGTAACACCTTTCTTTCCTCATTCCTCTCTAAAGGAATGTCCCAAATAACGCTATAGTCACCAGAACAACTAGAGCATGATATAGAGGTTCTGGTATCTATAGCATGTCCTGTAGTATTGGCACTGTAAATGCTGTGTTTTCAGAGAAAATGCAGTGTTTACAATGCTGCATAGAAACACCTCTTGTGGCTGTCAATCTGACAGCTTCTAGAGGGACTTCCTGGGTCTGTGCTGTGCATGGAGATGTCAGGATCACCATTGTGCTTTACACAATATTGTGTATTTGGGTCTGGCTGGGATCAAACCTGAGTTTCCTGCATCCCAGTCGGTATCCTTGCATTGAGCTCCACGCATCTTTGTCTGTTTCTGGTTGTTCTTGGTATCCTGTAGTCTGAGCCTGTACGCCTGGAATGTGCACACCTGTTCCTGGTTCCTTGATGATTGGCTGAGACTCCCTATTTAAACCCCGCAAGGCTGGTTCTCGTGGTCAGATAGTGTTTCCTGTTCCTGTTTGGTTTCACTGCTGTTCATCTGACTCCTGCTTTTGATCTCCTGCTCGTCTACTGTTTTCGCCTGATTGCCGCCCGTCCTGACTTCTGATTCTGATACTGACTACTCTTCTGGATATCCTTTGTCTGTACTGCGTTCCAGGAAGCACTGGTTATTTCAGCCCCAGTGCACTGTGTCACAGCCTTGGGGATTTCTGTCCTGAGTCCCCTCGGTCTGTGTCGATTTGCAAAGGGTGCCTCAACTCTGCGTGCCGGACTCCCACTTCAGGTAAGATCCTTGACAGTACGATCTGAACAAATGGAGTCTGCAGAGTTGAAGATTACCGTTGCAGCCTTGACCCAGCAAGTTTCCCAGCTCACCCAGGCTTTGCAGGGTTTACAGCAGGAGCTGGCTTCCCTTAAAGGGAGAGTAACCTATGACTCTGGACTTTCTGAACCGCTGGTTGCTCTACCCGAGAAATTTTCTGGGATCCGGTCTAAGTATGATACCTTCAAAGTTGATTGCGAGGTCCTGTTCTCCCTGAGACCACTTACCTATGCCACAGACGTCATTAAAGTGAGGACAGCGATTACCTTATTGTCGGGGCACCTTAAGATCTGGGCCCACCAGTTGTTACTCGCCAAAAGCCCAGTCCTAGATTCCTGGGAGTCCTTTATTCGGTCCCTGGGTTTACAATGCAACAAGACACAAAAGTCATATGTACATAGATCACCTACTGTTGCTTCACACATATTGCAACCCGGACTGGAAATGGACTACACTACTCCTTTCACTCGGACTGATGTTACAGCTAACCCTACCGCTCCCAAGTCTCCCGAAACATCGTATACATCTGGCAGGGAGGCGGAGGAACCCATGGAGATTGGACTGGTTAGGTTCCGTCAGTCATCTCAAGAAAGGGCAAGAAGGATGGCGCATGGACTGTGTTATTATTGTGGGGAGATGGGACATTTAATATCTTTTTGTCCCATTCGTCCATCTAGGCCTCGGGTTCTCCGTCTGGGTACTACTCTGGCATATCCTATGAGACCTGTCTGCCAACATGCTGCCTGTCCTTGCTTGACCACTCTGTCCAATCCTCAGCCTTCTACAGTCGTTGCTCCTGAGGTTGTGCAGGAATCTGTTACTAAAGAACATGAGATCTCTATTTCTACTAAAGATTCTGCTTCTAAGAAGGCAAGCACCACAACCACTACAAGTCCTGTCAAGGAAGACCCTCTTTCTGGCTGTACCTATGCCTCTAATGGGACTCTAGTCCGGAAGGAGGACTTGCAAGTATTTGAAAAGGCCCTACAAGCTATGACCTCTGCTCCTACTAGTACCACCAAAGCCAAGAAATCCAAAAGTAACCTCCTGGGTCGTAAGTTGCGTTCCTCTTCTCGCCTACGGCGTCTTTGAAGGGGGGGTAATGTCAGGATCACCATTGTGCTTTACACAATATTGTGTATTTGGGTCTGGCTGGGATCAAACCTGAGTTTCCTGCATCCCAGTCGGTATCCTTGCATTGAGCTCCACGCATCTTTGTCTGTTTCTGGTTGTTCTTGGTATCCTGTAGTCTGAGCCTGTACGCCTGGAATGTGCACACCTGTTCCTGGTTCCTTGATGATTGGCTGAGACTCCCTATTTAAACCCCGCAAGGCTGGTTCTCGTGGTCAGATCGTGTTTCCTGTTCCTGTTTGGTTTCACTGCTGTTCATCTGACTCCTGCTTTTGATCTCCTGCTCGTCTACTGTTTTCGCCTGATTGCCGCCCGTCCTGACTTCTGATTCTGATACTGACTACTCTTCTGGATATCCTTTGTCTGTACTGCGTTCCAGGAAGCACTGGTTATTTCAGCCCCAGTGCACTGTGTCACAGCCTTGGGGATTTCTGTCCTGAGTCCCCTCGGTCTGTGTCGATTTGCAAAGGGTGCCTCAACTCTGCGTGCCGGACTCCCACTTCAGGTAAGATCCTTGACAGGAGATGCCGTACGTCCCAAGGAGATGCCTTGATTCAATGCATCTCTAAGAAGAAGTGCTGATTTTTACTGGGCTGCTTTTTCCCATGCATGCACACTAGCCTCTCATTGCTTTCCTAAGGGAAATCATTTGCTTGGCTGATATCATCATGATTGATGATGTCAGTCAGAGAGGCAGAGTCAGCCAAGGAGAGAGGTGGGCCACTATAGCGTTAGAAACACATGTCTGCATTCCTTAATGCTATACAGCCACAACATTTATACAACTGACAGGTTAAGTGGATAACATTGATTATTTCATTACATTGGCATCTGCCAAGGGGTTGGATATATTAGGCAGCAAGTAAAAAGTCCGCTCTTGAATTACATGTGTTGGAAGCAGGAAAAATGAGCAAATTGCTGATTTTTTATGTACCTCTGCACAAAGCGGCAGACAATGCTTCCCAATGCATGGGCTACACATCTCAATCCTTCTTTTTGAGAAGCATTATTTTAGCTGGAAGATCATCAGTTCTGATCAACCATGAAATAGCGGAACTGATATGCAGTGAGAGACACTCTAGCCGCTGGCTGACATGTGAGCCTTTTATTACAGATATTGTAGGAAAGGGGTTCAAGAGACCAAACAAAATTCCAGCATTATAACTAAATATATTTATATATAACATATATATATATATATATATATATATATATATATATATATATATATATATATATATATATATATATATATATATATATATATATATATCTCCAGAATCTTTTGCGTTAATGAAGGTCAGGGTTGTTGAGCATAAATTCTCCAAGTATTTTAGAATAGCCTTTTTTTTGTCCATCTGCTTTTATTGAGAGGCATACAGGCATTTTGACAGTATATATCAGCAGTAATAGGAAAAACAAATAAATATAAAACATAACTGAGACATGGCTGCTAACATGCAGCACAGTGTGCTTATGAGATAGCGGCCTCATTTAAAAAAAAGTAAGGAAGTATAGAAGACATAAACTTTATGAACAGACGTTTTAAAAGAAAAAAACAGCTGAAACATATTAGACTATCGTCTATGGGGGCATATCAGCTGTAATAACGAGCCCCATTATAAACTAAAGAAGTGAAATGCCTATCGGTACAAATAAATAGAGTAGAGAGGGATAAAGCAGAAAATAACATATGGAACATCAGCTTGTGGAGCCCAATTAAAAGGAAAGAAAAATTGCACTTTGACTGTATTAGTGCCAGTCAGGCTGGTGGTTTGTCAGCCTTTGAGGAGTACCATCTCGGCAGGAAAGGAGTGATCCTGTACATGGACCATGATGGATGAGTCATTGCTTGTAAGGATCCGTTGGCAGTTGTAACCGCAGCTGGTTCCCTTATTTACTACTATAACGTCTTAAAGCATAGTACTTAGCAGGGCTAAACATACAGATATCTTTATCCATAATATTATATAGTTAGTGAGAGATCCTCTATTTAAAATATATAAATAATTGAGAATACAACATAAAATAAGGATTGTCTTGGAAGCAATAAAGTTTTGTCTTTTAGATATTTATTGTATAAAAATATAAATATAGACATATAAAATCAATTACAATAATTTATAGCAGAGTTTATAAGATTAAACTACATGCTTGCAATATCTTAATAGATTGACATACCCTCCTGAACATGTCATCATATCAGCCTCTCTGTCATTATAAGATGGAACATCTGTCTCCAAATCTCTCCTCTCTGTGTTAACATTTAAAAGGTACACATATTTATACCTTACGTGTCTTCATTTTAGGGTTACCGTAGTTCATTTATGAAAAAGTAACACTTCTTTTACTTTATTCATTTTAGGACCTCCCTTAACTTGGCAAAAATACAAGGTCATAACTAAAACTTAAAGGGGTGCACACATCATGGGAAATTCCCTGACTTAGGACAAGAAGGCATCTTAAAGTCTGAACATCTTTATCTATTTAGGGTTACAGCAGTATATTATGTACTAAATGAGTCGTAGCATAGCCTTGAAGCTTGTTTATGCATTATTATTATTGTATTTCGTCTGGGACAAAATGGCATAAACATATTATGCACTTAAAGTAAGTAAAAGGTTATTGCTTAAAGAAACATATATGGAAAACAATATTTTCTATTTCTAACACCTTGTCAGTCTGCAATATCTCTTAAAGACAAAGTACAAAGTTTGAGAAATAAAACATTTTCATTTTGCCCATAACACAGTCCCATCTCTTGAAGCATAAGAAGTGCCCTAAATGTGTAGGTTTTGCTACCTCTCTCCACCAAGAGCCTGTGAGGGCCCCATTTAAATTGTATTTTGTGCTGCCGGAGCAGTTGAGTTATCTGTCAGAGAGATTGCTGCCACATACACTCTCTGGTTCCTCCCATAAGACCTATCAGAGTCTTGCACAAATTTAATCAGGATATCCCATCTGGAGATGCCTTCAGTGGCATTGGGAGGTGAAAGCAGCAGTCCAGGAGCATCATCTTGGCCTGTGTTTGTGGCAACACTGTAGATATAAAACTTTTTACATAATACAATAGTTCCAAATTAGAGCTGGTATCTGGAACCCCCTGAGCCTTAAATTTCTGGTCTTGGACCTATCCTCCTTGCGGTTGGTCAGGTCTGCACAGCAATTTTGCAGGTTAATAATGGCTGCATCTGAAGCCATCTGAGCCACATTCAAACTCCCCAAATCTTCTTCCACAGCTACTATTCTGCCAGTTAGAGTTGCCAGCTCCTCCCGCACCACCTTGATGTCCTCCTGGAACATAGCGACAATCTCATGCAATAGTGCCTTAATTTCAACTTTAGTGGAAAGTACTGTATCCCAATTTATAGATGCCCCCTGTTTTGCCCCTGGTACCTGGGGGAATGTGGGTATGGTGTCCTTATCTGAGGATTCTAAAGTGTAGGCTGCCTTGGGAGCCATATTGGCGGACCCGGGCCTAACAACCTGTTTCAGGAACATCCGAATATCATGGGGCCCAGATCAGCCCGGCGTGTTTTTTTTTTTCCTTCTTCCCCATCCATACTGGAATGAACAGGATTGTAAATAGATTTGCAGGTATGTGATTTCAGCTTGAAAAACCACAGAGCGAAGCTCCAGCAGCATACATCTGTCTTCCTTGGCTGTTGGCTCCACCCCCCATAATACCCTTATTTAACCCTTTATTTGCTATACTAGGTTATTACAAACTCTAATATGAAATGTTCACAAATATTTATATAAATAAGTGATAAGGATAGCATTTTCCTTTAAATTTAAACCATGTTTTTATATCCTAGAATTCAATTTCCGGAAGACGATTGCTTCGCACAAGTTGCTTGCCATGTTCCTTGGCATGGCTGGAGTTCTTGCTGCCTTACTGGTTCTCGTCTACTGTATCTATAGCAGACAGCACAAGGAGGACATGTTCTCACATCACAGACTTTATGGAGAAGGCTTTGAAGACCCAGGTATGTTAAGGAACCTAAAGTATCATATGAAATAGAAAATTTATTTCAATGTCCAATAAAAAATGTTTTTATAATAATAATCTTTTTACATTTCTACTATGCTTTTATTAACTGGCATAAAGTATAATAATTGTATTATACAATACTTTCCCATCGGGGAAGTCCTAATGCGAGCACTGCATTCGCCACAAATGCACATTGAGTTCCCCTGCTGGCTGACATTGGCTGAGAAGGACCAGAGGCAGAGCCTGAACTAGTGCTGATAGACATCGGCGCTGGAAACAGGTAAGTGACAGAAGGCTTTTTTAACCCTTTCTGCACCATGATGGTGGGTGCGAGGGAGGGGGCACTTTAGGAAGCTATATGCTAGGAATACAACTTTTAACTAATGCTGGTTATGGTTTTAATGAAGTCTGTATTTTATGTGTTTGAAATTGTTATTAATTGTGTTTATTTTACATCTCTACAGTACTGCATCTTGACACTCCGGTGGATCACTTTGATTTCTTCTCTTTCAAAGACACAGAAATAACCCCCACACCAACTCCACTGCACAAACCACAAAATTCTGTTATTAATGAACCTAAACAAGACAATACATTTGATGTACCAAAAGAAACACATTCCAATGATAATTCACATCAGAACTTCCAGATGAGCTCTCTTAACATTATGTAATATTTGACATCAATCATTCTATTATATTTGCATTTACTGACTAACTGGTGTAATGCCCTACCCAAAAATACAAACAGATGAAAATTGGCACTTTTCACATGCTCTCATGAAAACCACCTAAATTTCACCCCCATTTCTTTATAGTGGAGGTTTTTATTTATGTTGTGAAATTTTCATTGCCAATCAAGTTGAGGATTTTGAAAAAAATAAATAAATGAGTCCAACAAAGACAACAAAAAATATTTGCTGAAGTTTTGCAGGCTTTTCTTTACACAAAGATTTGAAAATATACTGTACGAAGTAAACTGATTATACAAAATATGTGAAGTAACGCAAGACAACTTTGTTGGCCACAAGGTGGTAGTGCAGCAGAAGGTTTTTACTTCCACTGTTTCTTCATAGGAAGTGACAATTCTCCTTAAAAATCAGACAAATTTTATGTGTGTTTTCAGGGAGCTGTAAAAAGACAACTTTCTTCTGTTCCTTATTTTAGCGACAGATTCCATCTATCCATTCATGTTCTGTGTGATTTGTGAAACTCTGACTAGTTTAAGTAAATGTTTATTCTCAGATTGTAGTAGCAAACTACAGGAAATTTGCAAGTATATTTAGGGATATACCCAAATAACAGACACAGCCACAAGGCAGGAAAATCATTTTTTCCTGTCCGTCCTGCTGCGGCCGCAGTCGATTCTCCTGCGGCCGCTGGCCAGAAGTGCACATAGATTTTTTCCTGCGTCAGCCACGGCCCGCTGGTTTTGAACAGTGTAAGGCATATGATGTCATATCCACCGGCTGCACGGCAGTCAGTGACATCCCTTCCCTCAGATCTGCAGAACGCTATGCAAGACTGAACTGAGGCTGAGCTCAGCAGCTGGGAGGAGGTTAGCAAGAATAGGAGAGAGGAGCGGACAGCTTCCTCTCCCTCTACAGCCTAATTTTCTGTCTGAGAGCCTGATAAAGGGCATGGAGAACCCTATACTGGACAGGGGGTGGGGGGAGGGATGGGCACAGGGACCCTGGTAGTGAGCATGGGGGACACAGGACCACAATACTGGGCATAGGGGGGCACAGCAACCCTGAAACTGGTCATGGAGGGGCACAAGGATCATGATAGTGGGCATAGGGGGTAGGGACCCTGATACTTGGCATCAAAGGGGGCACAGGGATTCCTATATTGGCTATGGGGGTCACAGGGACAAAGGTGTTGATAATGAGAATTGGAGACAAATGGAGCCCTGACTCTGAGATGGGGTTACTAGAACTGTGATATTGGACATGGGGGACACAGGGGTTCTTAAAATGGTGTTTGGGACAAGGACCCTGATAATGAGAAGGACCCTGATAATGAGAAGGGGTTGCAGGGACTCTGATGTGAGGTGGGGGTTCAGAGAAACCTAATACTGGGCATGGGAGGCACAGGGACTATGCTATTTAACATGGGAAGAGGCACAGACTATGATAATGGGAGAGAGGTAAGGTGTGCTAGAGGATGACAGGATCATTACCTAGTATCCCTAAGCTGGACAACTGCAGCCCTCCCTGATCCTAGACAGAATCCCCCATTAAGAGAAAGTTCTAAATGTAGTCTAATCACCATAGCAATAAATGGACTACTCTTGAGAATTGCTCCACGTTTACAACTTTCCACCATAATTTGCTCTTTATCTATAAAGCCATATATGCTTTCATATCTGTCTTATCTAAAAATAATGTACTATTCAAATGTGCTTTAAAGTGCATGGTTTTATCTTTTATGAACAAGAGAATAACGCTTTTGTGCTGGTATAATGACGCAGTGCGATGAGGCTGGTAGGATGACGCAATTCTATGGGGCTGGAATGCAATTATTTCCAGGGCTGGTTTTCATTCCCAGGCTGGCCCTGCAGTATACAAACACATAAAGAACAAAACAAAAAAGGCGACATCTTTAGCTGCACAAAGGACAATATCACCACTACGAAACAAAACAACAACCACAATACATAACATCAGCTATCGCGCTGGAGGGGCGGCGGGAGAATCAGAGAGGGAGGGGAAGCCATGAGCTAAATATTTCATCCCATTCTTTTATCATATTACAAAAAATTGGATGAAAAAAAGCATCAGAGGAAGAGTGCTCCATATGAATTTTCACCGATAATACATAACAATTTCTTCTTTTTTTTTTCTTTATATAAATAAAAATGAAAATAAAAGGGAGGTAGAGAAAAAGTGCTCCAATTATAATTTCTTGATAATACATAACCATTTTTTCTATTCAGTATTAGTGATGTCGCGAACCGTTCGCGAACTTCCCACGAACGGCTCGCCACGAACCGTTCACGGTGAGCTCCGGTCAGCTGACACATCCCGGCCAATCTCCAGCAGACCCTCACTCTCAGACCCTCCCGCCTCCTGGACAGCATCCATGCCTTCAACATGGATGCTGTCCAGGAGGTGGGAGGGTCTGGGAGGGAGGGTCTGCTGGAGATTGGCCGGGATGTGTCAGCTGACTGGAGCTTGCCGCGAACGGTTCGTGGTGAACCGTGGCGAGCCGTTCGCGGGAAGTTCGCGAACGGTTTGCGACATCACTATTCAGTATATAAAGATCTATTAATACCCATTTCCATTTTGATTTGATAAATAAGTTGTTCTTTGACTGAAAGCCAACATGGCACAGTGTCTGACTTCCAATTCCTGACTATTAGCATTTTAGCTGCGGACAAGATGTGAGTAACAATCAGTAAATACGGGCCACAAAACATCAATTTTGTGTATAGATTGCTTCACAGACAAATGTAAAAAAATAAAATTGCGTAAATTTATACAATTTTTATTTTGCACTTATAACGTGTAAATAAAAATGGTCAAACACCTTGCTTATAGGTATTTGTTAAGATCCAAAATGCATTGCTAGCAGTGCAGCTTACTGAAAATGGCAAGTTAATACAATGTCTGCATTGACGTATAATGTCCACATTCAGTAAATGCTGTTTAATCATATATTTCTAAAATAAAAGTATTTAAAACTGTTGTCGAAATATGTATTACTCTCGGAGTGCTAATGTGGTAGAACCCATTCACTTTTCCTCCCCTTACATGACTGTAAGAATGCTATAACCCATTGCAACTTCATTTACTGTTTGGAAGCAGGGGGGCAAACCTGCAGGCATTATATCAGTGACTAGTGGCTTCTGGTAGAGAAATTAGTTCCTCTACAGGCTGGTAATCATTTCTAAAGTATAAATAAGGTGAGTGAAGCTTTGACCATCCTTTGCACCTGACAGTCAGCATAGAGAAAACACACAAGTAGAGGAGAAATGAAACCATGTTTCAATTTTACTAGCTCCACAGCAGCAAAGAAACACAGCAAAAAAAAAAAAAGAACCAATCACAAGAGAGTAGGATGTACATGAGGTATAATGACCTAATCACTTCCTCTTTCTTTGCTGCTCCATCAAGCAGACAGGTCAGAGTATTACTCTTCTCCATTAATTTTTGTTTCTATTGCCTTTTTGAGGTTGTTTCTGTATTATTTTTTGTATATACTTTTCTGTTTGTTCTTGCTGTGCTTCTGTACTATATGCAGCTGTATTTTTTCTATGTTATTTATTTCTACCTAATTCTTGGTTTCTGCCCTCTCCCCTCCTTGCTCTCACTTCTCTGGGGCTTAAGGGGCTTTTGGGTCTTACTGGGGTTGCATGTTAATGTTGAATTAGGCCATTTATATAAGTTGTTTAAAGGGATTTCACCCATAACCTTGTATTAACTATTAGCAGGGATAGGCAACCTTCGGCACCCCAGATGTTTTGTACTACACCTCCCATGATGCTTTGCCAGCTTTATGGGTGTAAGAGCATTATGGGGGATGTAGTCCACAACATCTGCAGTGCAAACTAACACGCTCATTAACAGACACACACACAGTAACACACTCACTGACACACACACACACACACACTAACACACATACACACATATATTGTCAGTGAAAGTGACGTGTTTTTTTTTTTTTTACACACAAACGGCACTTTCACTGATGATATCATTGTTGTGATATGTTTTACTGTTTTGAAGCACTACTATTTGTGTTCAGCGAAGTCTTCCAAGTATAACAGTACCACCTATGTACAGGTTTTATAGTGTTTTTGAAAGTTACAGGGTCAAATATGAGGCCGTTTTTTTCACATTGAAATTTCCAGATTGGTTATGTTGCCTTTGAGAGCGTATGATAGCCCAGGAATGAGAATTTAAATTTTTTTAAAAAGTAAATTATATGATATGATGAAAATAATAGTATCTTTAGAAAGACCATTTAATGGAGAGACAAACAGTATATAATATGTGTGGGTACAGTAAATGAGTAAGAGGAAAATACAGCTAAACACAAACACAGCAGAAATGTAAAAACAGTCCTGGTCCTTAATGGTAAGAAAATTGAAAAGCAGTCTGGTCACTAAGGGGTTAAAGCCCTTATATTCCTTAAACCAATGCTGTGACACACGCTGATGTTCATGATAGGTGCCCTGAAGACAACACTCTGAAAAAGATAGCAATTAATGGCACCATGACCACTTCAGTGATTTTAAGTTGTCAATGTGCCTGGAGTCTTTATGTACAGCCTTCTATGGCTGAATCATTGCACATACAGAGAATATCTTTTTTGCTGCAGCAGGCATAATTCCACCCTTGCCAGTGCCATTGGGGCACCACTATCAAGTCTGGAACAAAAGTTCTGATAACGCTTATGTCAGTTTTGTGCTAGTCGTCCAATAGCGGCACCCCCCTTCCTGGCCCATCCTCCCGCTACATTATTCCCCCCCCCTTCAGTGACTTACCTAAGAACCTCACCGATGTCCCTCGGCGCTGGGTCAGGCTCTGCCTATGCTCCTCCCCCACCGACGTCAGCCGGTGGGGGAGACCAAACGCGCATGTGCGGCTGCTGGCGGGGGAGACCTAATGCGCATGCACGTGCATTAGACCTCTCCATAGGAAAGCACTGTGTCAAAAAGGCAGAAAGAACGCTTATTACCACTACACCTGGTACAAGCGAGCGGAAAAACGATCCCACGCTAAGGTTCAAAATATACCTTTTGAAATACCCTGGGGTGTCTACTTTAAAAAATGGTAGGCCTTTGTTGGGGTAGTTTGAATTTAAAACCTGCGAAGATGCTTGGAAATTGCACATAGGCCCAGCGTCAAAATTCAAAGTTCGGTAAAAACTTATATGGCTTGGTGTCCTATATGGCACTGTAGCTTCACGAAATAGTGCCAAAGACATTCATTGGGGGTGTCTTTTTACTCAGAAGACTTAGCTAAGCATAATTTGGAGGTGTTGAACTATACAAAATGCCCAGCAAAAATGCAATCCGTGTGTAAAAAATGCACAAAATTATTTTTTACAACATACTTTGGCATATATTGGTGAAAAAATGGGGGCATGCTAAGGCACAATATGCACCTTATGAGATACCCTGGAGTGTCTACTTTTACAAATGGTAGGCCTTTGTGGGTTTTTTTTTGAACAGTCAAACTACTATAATACCCCAAATGGAAGCATAAGCTCATTAAATCCGTCTCTCAAAATTCTACTGTGAATACTGAAAAGGACAGGTCTCCTATATGGTACTGTAGCTTCCCGAAATAGTGCCAAAGACATACAATGGCGGTGTCCTTTTACTCAGAAGACTTAGCTGAGCATAATATGGGGGGTTTGAACTTAGTGGCACATATGAAATATACAAAATGCCCAGCAAAAATGCAATCCATATGTAAAAAATGCACAAAATTATTTTTTACCACATACTTTGGCATATATTGGTGAAAAAATGGGGGCATGTTAAGGCACAATATGCACCTTATGAGATACCCTGGAGTGTTTACTTTTACAAATGGTAGGCCTTTGTGGGTTTTTTTTGAACAGTCAAACTACTTTAATACCCAAAATGGAAGCATAGGCTCATTAAATCCGTCTCTCAAAATTCGACTGTGAATACTGAAAAGGACAGGTCTCCTATATGGCACTGTAGCTTCACGAAATAGTGCCAAAGACATACAATGGAGGTGTCCTTTTACTCAGAAGTCTTAGTTGAGCATAATTTGGGGGGTTTGAATTTAGTGGCATATATGAAATATACAAAATGCCCAGAAAAAATGCAATCCGTATGTAAAAAATGCACAAAATTATTTTTTACCACTTACTTTGGCATATATTGGTGAAAAAATAGGGGCATGTTAAGGCACAATATGCACCTTATGAGATACCTTGGAATGTCTACTTTTACTAATGGTAGGCCTTTGTGGGGGGTTTTTGAACAGTCAAACTACTATAATACCCCAAATGAAAGCATAGGCTCATTAAATCCGTCTCTCAAAATTCGACTGTGAATACTGAAAAGGACAGGTCTCCTATATGGCACTGTAGCTTCACAAAATAGTGCCAAAGACATGCAATGGGGGTGTCATTTTACTCAGCAGATGTAAATGAACACAAAATAAAACTTTGTACAGGAATAGCACACACCAACTTTACAAAATACACATGAGAAATTCTTTGTTATAAGTTTGTGTGCCAAAACCCCCCAAAAAACACAATTTTACTCCAATATTTAGCAGAGGTTGGCGGTGAAATGGCTATGTAGAAAGTATCAAAACAACCTTAGGTAAATAGCCTGTAATGTCTACTTTATATAAATATATACTTTTGTGTCTTAATTTTGTTTTCTTTTATGGCTATTAAGCTTACAAGACAAACATACTAAATTCTAAAATCGCTCCACATTAAAAGTTTATTTAACTCCTTGTGCTTTGTGACCTGTAACTACCAAAAAAAAAATTAAAATCCCAGACACATTATATATTCTGTAAATCAGAACAACTAAATGAATTTATTTTTAATTACTTTCCTTAACCTGCACTAATTATGCACACATTATTATTACAAAAACTGTGCAAAAAAACACAAATTAAATTTTATTTGCATTTTTCTGTATTTTTTTATAATAAATAAGCATGTATGTGTATATATTACATCACATTAAAGCCCTCTCTGTCCTTTAAAAAACGGTATATAATATGCGTCGGTGCAATAAATTAGTAAAATGCAAATTGCAGTTGAACGCAAACAGCAAAAAATGCTGTTGTCATTCAGTGAAAGACAAGCTTCTGAAGCTCTGTCCTTAAGGGGTTAAAGAGAAATAGAGAACGTGATTGACAGGTTTATCTTTTACAATATTTGCCTAGAATTTATAATTTCACTGTACAAACAAATACACTTAAATATTGTATATGCTGTATGAGTTTATAGTGTTTACTCATAAGAAAAATGACAGCAATTATATAATTTTTAAGAGAGGGATTTATTCACTGAATGGTAAATTTTGGTGAGCTGAAAAATAAAATGGGTGGAAATAGACTCCAATTTAGCATTTTTTCTATCAGTGTTATCTTAGCCTATTTTTTACAGTTAGCATTACTGATTAATGAATAAGCCTTAAACTTGTAGCCAACGGTACTGAAATCTGGTCAGATTCCATTGTAAAATGAAATGGAGGAGACATTGATGCCACCTCAGACATTCTAAAATCCAGCATTGTTCTGCTTCACATTTCTGCCATCATATTTGTGCCATCACTACTCACAACAAACTGCTTTATTTCTGTATATTTCCTTCACCTGACACTTCTAGATACGGTGCGGAGCTACCACTGTCTAGAAGTGTCAATCCACCCAGCCGTCACCAGTGAGCCAGGGAACTGGCTCTGTATATGCAGGATACTGCTATGTCTATCTTGGATTTTGTAATGGCCAATTTAAATTGTTTTGACAGCTGGCCCATCGAGTAAACATTATGGAAAGCCAAACTGACCAAGATAAGCTTTGGTCATTTTCAGCCTCCGAACCAAATAATAATTGAAGTCACATGGTAACGATCTCATTAGAACTCTAAAAAGCACTGAGCCTTTCATTGATTTGTAAA